ATTGTATACTAAGTTATCAGAAATCTGGATCTAATTTCTTAAGCAATGGTTCCATAGTCTGTTGCCACACCTGATAACCCTTCTCATTAAGATGTAGTTTGTCGGCCACATAGAGATCAGTATTTTGTTTGCCATCCGGTGTCTCATATGCTGACCACATGTCCAGGAAGAATACAGTCTTGTCATCGGCTAACGTCTTGATCAGTGTATTGAGTTGTTTGCATACATCACCCCATGGCTCAGCTCTGGGTAATACACCTAATAGTATGAGTTTAGAGGTCGACATCTTAACCAATAACTCTTTTATTACTTCTTGTACTCCATGTCTGATGTCTTCGATGGTATCATTATTTGGGACATTATTCGTACCTTTAATTCATATATGAATTCATTTCACAGACTATTAGAGATCACACAATGAAGTGTCGAAACATAGTATAATACCAACCGATCATAAGTACAGTAACTTTAGGGTGGAGTCCATCGAACTCCTTGTTCTCGATTCTGTATAACACGTGTTCAGTGCGGTCACCGCCAACGCCGTAATCATATGTATGTCTCGGAATGTAATACTTATCCCAAACAGCCTTTCCTAAGCCGCCCCAGCCTTCAGTGATGGAGTCGCCCACGAAAACCACTTTCGAGTCGTTTTTGTGTTCCAGCGTTTGGTTCACTAGTCTCTCGTGTTTTTTCATCCAATTTGGNTACTTATCCCAAACAGCCTTTCCTAAGCCGCCCCAGCCTTCAGTGATGGAGTCGCCCACGAAAACCACTTTCGAGTCGTTTTTGTGTTCCAGCGTTTGGTTCACTAGTCTCTCGTGTTTTTTCATCCAATTTGGATCTTTGGTGCGCCCCTCAGGGTCCCAGGGATGACCCCATACATCACACACTAAAGTGAGTAATGTTAGCAAAACTATTTGTGTGCACTTCATGGCAATGGTTTCAGTTATACCATAAATGCAGTTTAACTTCACTTTTATTTTTTAACTTTGAGTTTATTTTACACAAACATTATAATCAATATGTGATATGACTGGAGATAATAATTACCAGGATTTTGTAAACCTTGAAATCTTTTCGGTACGACTAATACATCTTATTTTGAGTACAAGTAATTTTTGTACCAGGTGCTAGTTTACCACAGAATTTAGGAATTCTGTGGATTTAAGCACATATTTTGATTTGTAAAAATTGTTTTAAATATTAAAAACAAATATAAAGTAAACCCTCATAAATAACTCTTATTAGTTATATTGTTAATTACTATTTACAATAAATTTACTTTAACTTGTATAATTAAGGTTTGTGTATAAGATAAGAAATAAAAATTAAGCTAGTATATTTTTAGATTTATAAGTAATAATTTAGTAAACCACATAATCGTCTAAACTTTAAGCAAGTTGATTATTAATAACTTTTATTTTAGAAACTAAACATTAATACAAATAAAAGCAAAAACATTTGATTATATTTAAAGAGTTGGGTCCAACTTCTTAAGCAGTGGTTCCATAGTCTGCTGCCACATCTCATACCCCTTCTCATTGAGATGTAGTTTGTCTGACACATAGAGCTCTGTGTGTTGTTTGCCATCCGTCTCATAGGCTGACCACATGTCCAGGAAGAAGACGTTTTTATCGTTATTCAATTTGGCGATCAATTCATTCACTTGTTTCACTTTAGCACCCAATGGCTCAGCTCTGGGCAGTACTCCCAACAGAATAACCTTAGTGTTCGGCATTTTGCCCAACAATTCCTTCACAGTTTCGTTAACTCCATGCGCGATGTCCTCAACCGTATTGCCGCCGGCATTGTTTGTACCTTTCATTTAGTAATTTGTTTATAAATAGTTTATATTTTAAACTTTGATTATATATGTATACAAACCAATCATGAGAATTGTCACTTTGGGGTTGAGTCCATCAAATTCTTTATTTTGGATTCTGTAGATCACGTGTTGAGTCTGATCGCCACCGATGCCGTAATTGAAAGTGTGTCGAGGAGTATAGTATTTGGCCCAAACAGCCTTTCCATTGCCACCCCAGCCCTCAGTGATTGAATCGCCGACAAACACAATCTGCTCTTCGGTCTTATGCTGAAGAGTTTGGTTAACCAAAGCCTCGTGTCTTTTGAGCCAATTTGCATCTCGTGGTTGTGGGTCCCAGGGATGGTTTTGGGCCGATATTCCCAATACTAAAACCGATACAACTATTAATGACAGCATAATTGTAGTATTGATTTCTAGTTTATTAGAAACAATTGAATTATTTGCTTTCAAACATGTGTTTAAATAGTAGAAAATGTTCACTCATTAAGCAATAATTGATATGAATTAAGGATTAATTAAAGGATATAAAATAGCATTGAATACTCTTATCATTGTATTGTTCATAGAATATAGGATTCTTTGGATGGGAAAGTTATCATTTA